ACTGAAACACATAAATCAGTGTTTTGAATTCTTTTTCTCTGTGGGTATAATTGTACCTTAGTTTCTTATAATGATTTATTGAGGTAAATATTCTGTATGGTTTAACAGCTACAGCTTCAAAGTGTCAGGCACAGGCTCTCCTTTATTCATGAGGCAGCTGAGTATTGGGATGTGAATTCACTTCTGTATTCGGGGACTTGGCAAAGTTTGTTTTTAAGGTCCTTATAAAGAATTCATGTAGATGTAGTCTATTCAAATGTGAAAAACACTGTGCTATAATGAGTGAAATAGAAAACCTTTACAGTAATTCTGGAGAAAAAAGTAAATAAATTGAAATAAGCCACACAGAATTACTTTCAGAAAAGCAAAGAATGCCCCTGAGTTCATGTCAGCCATTTTTTCAGGTTTAGGGATGCCTACAAACCCCATCATTGGATGGGCTACTAAGGTGGATACTGAATCTAATATCAATACAAAAAGAAAATGATCAGAGAGAAGTAGAATTAAGTCTCAGTTTGTAATACTCACGCAAAGAAGTCTTTTGGGTTGATTTTCAATCTGCATATGCTATTGCTCTGGGACCAAGCTATATACAACACCAACCAGTAACAACAGTTGTAAAATATATTATTAAAACTAGCATATAGCAACTTTATAGTTTAGAGGGGGAAACGAGTAACTTACCAAATACATTTCCTTTAAAGCATCATGCCAATAGAAGTTACACATAGATACTTAAGGCACAGAGCCCTATCTTGGAACTCATTGATCTTATGCTTATCTATGCCAAGACTTTCAGCAGGAAATTCAGATTTTTGCCAAGAAATACATGCGCCTTAGATGTATGAGCTCAGCATGAAATGGAAATCCAACCTGCGTGGACAGTGGTTCTCTGGTGCATCCACACTCCTACCCATCTGCCAGAGTGACTTTATGATTCCCCATAACATGGTTTGCCAGTCTGGGGGTATAGGTGCCAATTAAAAATGTTTAAAAAAAACATAGTTTAAAAGTATAACTACATTTTTTATAATCAGATTCTCTTATTTCCAGTTAATGTAAATTAGGTTTTCAAATTTTACTCAATTGAGAGTATTTCACATTATTAGAGAGATGCCACTAATAATAGCTTTTGCTTTTTCACTATTTTTCCTTTAAAATTAAAAATAACTTAAAAATTCTGTCTGCTAAAAGCTACTCATTAAATTATAAACATATTAGCTATCTCCACAGAACCTAACATAACCATGCATGGAGTAGATGATCAGTAAGTACATCAGATAGCAACTAATTAATTTAAAATGGTTCTGAAAAAGTTTTATCACTTTTCAAATGACACCCCTTTTTCCAAAATATTTTTTCACCCAAAACCACACTAAGTAAATATACTATATGATACATATATATTTTTTTAATGTTTATTTACTTTTGAGAGAGACAGAACATGAGCAGGGGAGGGGCAGAGAGAGAGAGGGAGACACAGAATCTGAAGCAGGCTCCAGGCTCTGAGCTGTCAGCACAGAGGTGGGGATTGAACTCATGAACCATGAGATCATGACCCAAGCCCAAGTCCGATGCTTAACTGACTGAGCTACCCAGGTGCCCCTATAAGATATGATATTTTGATGTTACACTTTCAGGCAAAAACACTCACCAACTTATTCAACATAACAATTCCTTGTCAGAGAATAACATGTGGGAAAATTTACATTGTAAACCATGTTTAGATGACCCAAATGTTCTTCACTGCCAATAAAGAATGAAAATTGGGCACCTGGGTGGCTCAGTTGGTTAAGCATCTGACTTTGGCTCAGGTCATGACCTCACAGTTCGTGAGTTCGAGCCCCACATGGGGCTCTGTGCTGACAGCTCAGAGCCTGGAGCCCGCTTTAGATTCTGTGTCTCCCTCTCTCTCTCTGCCCTCCCCTTCTCATGCTCTGTCTCTGTCTCTCTCTCACAAAAATGAATAAACATTAAGTAAATTTTGTTTCTTTAAAAAAAGAATGAAGAGGTAGCATCTTGTACAACTCTAAGAGTATGCTATAATTTTATATTAAGTTTATGTGAAGGCATGATAATCATGAACCCCTCAAAGGCTGAAAAAAGTGATGGGGAAAATGGTGCAGAAAGAATAACATATCTTCCAAAGAATGAATACTTCACACTCCTCCTCCACCAACCACTAGCCATTATCAATTCTTTTCTTCCTTTGGCAAGTACAATAAACTTTTATTACTTTATAGTTTATGTATAATCTATCCATCTATGTACTTTCAAATGTTATCTGTTACTTACACAAATTTGTTTTCATTGTTCCTTAAATGATATATTTTTCTTTTTTTAAATGTCATTTATTTTGAGAGAGTGAGTGCATGCATGCACAAGTAAGCGAGGGGCAGAGAGAGAGAGAGAGAGAGAGAGAGAGAAAGAGAGAGAGAGAATCCCAAGCAGGCTCCAAACTGTCAGCACGGCTTGATCTTATCAACTGTAAGATCATTAGCTGAGCCAAAATCAACAGTCAGATGGATGCTAAACCAACTGAGCCACCCAGATGCCCTTTAAATGATATATTTTTCTATCTGTGAAAGTATTTGGGTATGTTGGGTTGGAATGAAATATATCATGATTTTTACCATCAAATTCATGGTAATATTTTTTATTTTATAGATTTTTACTAAGCAACAGAATTTTCTTAAACAAATTAACATCTTTAAGCAAGGAATAGGTGTACTTTATTCAAAGTTTCAAAGCATATCACAGACCTAGAGAAGAAAGGAATTAATATCAACTGAGTATCCCAAGTTTATCAGATGCTGATCCAGATAAATACGTGTTGGTTCATCAATCCTTACAATAACTACATGATAGAAGTATTGCTATTCTCTTTTCTGAAGATGAGAATACAGAGACTCGATGTGAAGTGGAGTGGTCAAGTTCACACTACTAGTAAGTAACAGAGTCAGAATTAAAATCAAATGTTACAAAACCCAGTGGTCATTTCTCTGTGCTCATCTTAACTTCATTTCGCATAAGCATTGAACAAACTCAACAACACCCTCTTTGAAACACTGACCTCTCTTGGCTTCCAAATATGACACTCTCTTGGTTTAGGCCATCCCCACTACTACTACCTCTTAGTCTCCACTCTTTAATCCACCTCTTCTACCTGATTTGTAATTTCTAGGATTCCTCACACTCAGGCCAGAGCCCTTTGAGATTTGTCTCTTTTTCCTGGATCATTTCAGACATTCCCTTGGATTTAAATGCCACTAACCTTATGCTCATGACTCCCAAACATGTATCTCTAGCCTTGACTTATATGAATCTCAGGTTTGAATATCTAATTGTCTAGTTTCTTTACATCATCACCTAAACATCTCAAAAACATTGTAAACTTAATGTGCCCAAAAAAGAAATCATGATACCTACCTACCCAAATCTGCCCATCTTTCCCCACTGAATAAATAGAAATTCTGTCCAAAGGTTGTTCAAACCAGAAACCAAAGAGCCTTCTTTTATTCCTTCCTTTGCATCATCCTCAATATCTAATTCATCAGTAAATCCAGTTGTTTCTTCCCGTAAAATATATCTTAAATTCCTCCACATCTCTCCATCTCCACCACTACCACTTTAACCCAGGTCTTCATTATTTCTCACCTGGACTAGGCAACAGGTTCAACTCTACTCTTACACCTACTCTAATCAATTCCCCAAAATGTAAACAGAGAAGCTTTCTTAAAATAAAACATCAAATCAATCCCTCCTCTGCTAAAGGGCCTACAATGGTTTACCATTGCACTTAGGATAAAATCCAAACTCCATTATCATGATCTACAAAACTCTGCCTATCTTTCCAATCTCATTTTATGCCACTCTCCCCTCATTTCACTACAGTCTAATTCACACTAGTCTTCCTTCAGCACCCAGAGCACACTAAGCTCTTTCCAGCTTCAAGTCTTTTTCAGATGCCGTTCCCTTTACCTGAAATACTTCCCCATTAATTATCTAGCTAGCGATCCTGAGTCACTACCTCAACGAGACAGTCCTAAACCACACTGTCAAGAGTCCCTTGTTAGTTTTCTTATGGAAGTTATTATATTTTGTAATTGTTTAATGTATTTGTCTTTTTGTTGTCTATCAAAATAGAATGTAAGCTACATAAAGGTAGAGACTAATTAGTTAGCTTATTTATATATTTTTTTTAACTTATTTATATTTTCAGTGTCTGGTACAAAATAGCTCTCAATAAATATTTGCTGAATGAACAAAAACAGGGTGTGTCTAATTTCAAAACCAATGCTCTTTTCATTATATCATGCTATCACCTTAAAGGATCTTAGAAATCATCTAGTCCATGCAGAAAAAGAGAATCTCTTTTGCACTGCTGGTGGGAATGCAAACTGGCACAGTTACTCTGGAAAACAGTATGGAGGTTCCTCAAAAAATTAAAAATAGAACTACCCTACAACCCAGCAATTGCACTACTAGGCATTTATCCAAGGGATCCAGGTATGCTGTTTCAAAGGGACACATGTACCCCAATGTTTACAGCAGCACTATCGACAATAGCCAAAGTATGGAAAGAGCCCAAATGTCCATCAGCAGATGAATGGATAAATAAGATGTGGTATAATATACAATGGAGTATTACTCGGCAATCAAAAAAAACGAAATCTTGCCATTTGCAATACGTGGATGGAACTGGAGGGTATTAGTCCATCAGAGAAAGACAAATATCACATGACTTCACTCATATGACAAATTTAAGATACAAAACAGATGAACATAAGGGAAGGGAAGCAAAAATAATACAAAAACAAGGAGAAGGACAAGACATAAAAGACTCTTAAATATAGAGAACAAACAGAGGGTTCCTGGAGGGGTCATGGGAGAGGGTATAGTCTACATGGGTAAGGGGCATTAATCTACTCCTGAAATCATTGATGCATCATATGCTAACTTGGATGTAAATTAAACAATAAATAAATTAAAAGAAAATCATCTAGTCCAAACCTTTCATTCAGCAAATAAAAACAAAGATTCAGAAAGACAAGTGATTTGCCCAAGGACACACAGTAATAAGTGACATAGCCATAATAAACCCAGGCTTTCTGACTTCTGATTCAGGGTTTTTCTTACATATCACATTGCCTTATGATGATAGCCCCACTCAAAAATACACCTAACAACTTTTCCACAAAGTGGCCAAAAATACCAGTAAAAACTTCTGCAATCATTTACAACACAAAGCATTTGGTTGTCAAAATCTTTTACATAATTATTCCTATTTTTTAAATAAAACACTTGAAAATATAGATAAATAGTTCTCCATTTTATATTACATAAATCATTTACTTCACAATATAAACAAAAAATTGTTTCATACAGATAATACATTTAGAATGAACTTTCTTAGGGAAATCACTTTTGTTCCTAAAAATTCACTGTTTTCTCAATAGCCAATAATTCTCTAAAATTCATATAAAATGTAAAACTCACATAATTTTGAAACTAAACAAGAAACAAGCAAAATATCCATAGTTAATAATAACCACAGATGAAAGAAGAAATAATCAAACCCAGGAATCCTACACTCCCTACTTCCAGAATCTAATCACTGGTCTGCAAAGAACTTAGCTATGTATCTATTTACTCAATCCATGAATCAATACAAAACTGCCTCCAGCTCCTTCTATCCCTCCAGAACCCAAATCAGATAACTACAAAACCATCTCAAACTGCTCTTATCGCTCAGTGACTGATGGAGGAATCTTTGACCCAACTTTTCTTTGCCAACAATTTACTTCTCCATTAAGCACAGGTATCCACATCCACTATTCCATCTACTTGTGTATGTGTTTTTTTTAATTTCCATAATAAAAAGTTAGGAAAAAAACTGCCATTGGCCATTTAATCCTTAAAAATAACTGTCTCCATCTACCTCCTCATCTTCTAAAGAATTCTACATAATTTTTCAAAAGCATTAGAAATAATAAATATAAATTTTTTTATTTGTAGCATTATAACAGTAATTACTGCAAAGGACAAATATTTCAGCTGTATCAATAGTTCAAATAGGTTTATATGGGCTATCCTAGTGAATGAGACATTTATACAGCATTGTTCTATGGGAAAAAATGTGGAACTTTTGCTTTATTTCCAACTTCCCTAAAGTTACTATGCTAAACTTTCAAAGTTTGTCTTAGTTTGTTCAGGCTGCTATAACAAAAATACCATAGACTGGGTGGCTTAAACAACAAACATTTATTTCTCATAGTTCTGGAGGCTAAGAAGTCCAAGATCAAGGCCCTGACAGATTCAGTGTCTGGTGAGAACCACTCATTCCCTAGTTCATTGACAGCTGTCTTTTTGCTGTGTCCTCACATAGTGGAAAGGGGCAAACGAGCTCTTGTGTTCTCTTTTAAAAGGACAATTAATCATTTCCCAAAGGCCCACCTCCAAATACCATCACTTTAGAGATTAAGTTTCAATATATGAATTTCAGGGACGTAAACATTCAGTCTATAGCAAAGTCCTTTTCACATAATCAGTCATGTTCATTGTTTTTCCCTCACAAAAATTTCACAGTTAACATATATATCTTTGTTATTTACCTGCCAGTTGTTCTGAATGTTGTATCATTTAATTTTCAGTGGGTCTTTTTGGTACACCAGATGTGTCTCCTGCTGCTGCTCATTAATATGCAAATTACCTCAGAATATACTGGACTTCTATGGGTTTCAAGGCTCTAATTTTTATCATTTAGAATCTGGCAAAATAGTCCTGTTGGAAAAGTTTCAGAAAATGAATTTCAGCAGTAGAGTTCAAAGCTCTTTCTTACTTCAAAAACTCAAAATCCTATATTTCAAATACAGACTAACAACTCACTATTATTATGCATTACAGTGAAATACTGCTAGAAGTATAAGTAAATCATGTCCAGTTGGTATAGCATGGAGCACACACCCATTCTATCATGGAAAGTGCCAAATCTGTGTTGTCCAACAGAGTAGCCAATAGCAACCTGTGGTTTATGGGGCACTGGTAATGTGATTAGCCCCATCTGAGATGTGCTGTAATACAAACACACACTGGACTTTTGAATACTTAGTGTAAATAAATGATGGGGTGCCCATTGTTTATTTATCATTATGTATCAACCATTAATGGTGGCTCAGTTAAACATCCAATTCTTGATTTCAGTTCAGGTCATGATCTCAGGGTTGTGAGATCGAGTCCCATATTGGGCTCCACACTGAGTGTGAAGCCTGCTTGGGAATCTCTCTCTCCCTCTCTCTCTGCCTGTCCCCCACTCACGCATGCATGCACATGTACTCTCTCTCTCTTTTAAAATAAAAAAATAGGGGCGCCTGAGTGGCGCAGTCGGTTAAGCGTCCGACTTCAGCCAGGTCACGATCTCGCGGTCCGTGAGTTCGAGCCCCGCGTCGGGCTCTGGGCTGATGGCTCAGAGCCTGGAGCCTGTTTCCGATTCTGTGTCTCCCTCTCTCTCTGCCCCTCCCCTGTTCATGCTCTGTCTCTCTCTGTCCCAAAAATAAATAAACGTTGAAAAAAAAATTAAAAAAAAAAATAAAATAAAATAAAAAAATAAACATTTAAATAAATAAATAATATAAAACATCTCAATAATTTTTATATTGGTTACATGTTGAAATGATACTATTCTGATATACTAGGTTATACAAAATACATTAACATTAATTTCACCCATTTCTTTTTACTTTTTACTTCTTTTTAGTATGATTACTAGAAAATCTTAAATTATATGCATGACTCACATTTGTGACTCACTTTATATTTCTATAGGTCAGCACTCCAATGTAATTAATAGAGTTCTACTATATCTAAACTATTTATTCCTCCTCCTCTTACAAAAGACTAAAGGGGCACCTGGGTGGCTCATTAGGTTAAGCACCCAACTTCAGCATCCAACTTTAGCTCAGGTCATGATCTCATGGTTTGTGAGTTCAAGTCCCATGTCAGGCCCTGTGCTGACAGCTCAGAGCCTGGAGCATGCTTCAGATTCTGTGTCTCCCTCTCTCTGCCCCTTCCCACTCACATTCTGTCTCTATATCTGTCTCTCTTTCTCAGAAATAAACATTAAAAAAATTTTTTTTAAAAAAGACTAAATTGTCCTCATGATGATGATGATGATGATACCTTAAATTCTACCAAATAGTCTCAAATATATGACCTCATTTGATTCTCTTGATCTTCTAATTTGATTTAGTACCTCTCTCCACATCAATCAAACCATCATCATCTAGAATCCTTGTATTTTTGCAATACCTTGCTTAGGAAAGATCTATTTTCCAGAACTGAATTAAAAAACAGAACAAAAATATCATGGCACTGGTAGATAAAGCCGTTGAGGACATCTAACTTTCTACAGTTAAGTTAGTGTTTGGTGTTTGTCTTTCCCCAGAGAAACAGCTTTTGATAAATGTGTTGTGGTGGATAGCCCACAGCAAGCAAGGTTCTTAAATGAAAATATATACTTTCAAGTAAGAATTAGCAACAAAAAAAAAAAAAAAAAAAAAAAAAGGGGACAGAAACAACATCAGAATAGATAATAAATACTAATCCCCTCTGCTCAAAGCAGAAAGTACTACATTATTCAAGAATGTTATAACAGCTAAAGGAGTTTATTATTAGAACACTGCTTAGTTTAGCCAAGTTAGTAAAAAAGAAAATTAAAACAACAGTTCAATGATTTTGAAGTTTTACTTTTTCCAGCCACTCTCAGTTCTCTGAGGGGAAAAAAAAAATTAGCAAAAAATCAACTGCTTTTCCCTGTATCAAATAGGTAGTGAGAAATTCTAGAGTCCTAGTCACCAAAGAGTAGGGCTATGACATTTTCAAAAATAAGCATTAATAAGTTTAATCAGTGTCCACATACCAATTTTCTCCTGGGAAAATTCAAATGCTTCATATTAGAGATCAATTCATTCTGATAATCATAAAGGAACTGTTAAAATTCTATAGTCTGAGCAAGTGGAAATATAAATTGGTACACATACTTTGGAAAACCTTTCCATGTTATTTTCCACTTACTCCTAAGCATATACCCAACAGTAATGCATGCACATTTATATCAAAAAACTTACATAAAATTTTACATGGTATTGTTCATTATAGCCCAGAGTGGAAACCCATACACCCATCAACAGGTGAATTCATACAGTGTAATACTACACCGAAATAAAATGAACCAACCACTACTACATAATGACAGTGATGACAGTAATGATTCTCACAAATATAACACTGTGTAAGAAAAGCTAGATGTAAAAGAATACATACTGTCTGGTTCTATTTAAAAAAAAGCTTATGTTAGAAACAAGATAGGAGACCCCAAATGGAGTCACTTATGCTAAGCCCCCCATCACCAAACCAAGGCTTAATTACAGTTTTGACCTCTCTCAGAAATGGAATCTTAAATTATTTAAACAAGAATCACCTGATCTAAGTATTAGGGAAGTAATCTACCTGATAGACCCCTCACAATCCATTTTTTGCTAGTAAAACTTCCTTGTTCCTGCTCCCTTCTGCCTGTAAAAATCTCTCCTTTTGCACAGCTCCTCCAAGCTCCATTTTATCTGCTAGACTGGATACCGTCTGAATGAAATTGATTTTCACTCAAATAAAGTCTTACAATTTTTAATATGCCTCGATTTATATTTTAACACTAAAACAGGGGTGGTTAATGCATGTTCTTAGAAGTCAAGATAGCTATCTTTGGGGAAAAAAGAGAAGGTAGTCAGGTGGGAAGACTTAAGGGGCATCAAATATATTTTATTTCTTGACCTGGGCAGGGTTACATAGATATACTTATTTTGTGACAATGAACTATACAGTTATGCTTTGTGCATTTTTCTACATGCCTATTAAATTTCAGTTAAAAGTAGGTGAAGGAGATTAATAGGTACAAACTTCCAATGATAACATAGATAAGTCACAGGGATAAAATGTACAGCATAAGGAATATAGTCAATAATATTGTAATAACTATGTGGTGGCAGATGGTGATTACACTTGTGGTATTTTGTAATATATAGAATTGTTGAATCGCTATGTTGTACACCTGAAACTAATATAATATTATACATCAAAAAATTGCCAAATGTAGAAGCAGCAGTAGCTATTGTAATATTAATAAATAAACAAAATGGGTTCAAAAAATAAAATAAAATTCCATGGTCAAAAAAAAATTCTGTGGTCATACTAAAATTTTTTTTATATTACTAATTAAATTAAGATTTCATTTGGTATTTAGAAATATGTGTTAAATTGAGATTTGTTTTTTAAAGAAAATTTTATCTTTAACCTAACTTTCACAGTTTTTAAAATCACAGAATTACAGAGCTTCAGAGATGGAAGAAACAGAACAAACTAGTTTGGCTCTGAAAGAGCTTGGGTGACTTGGCAATGATTAAATCAAAAGCAGTGATGGGACTAAAATTCAGAACTTCCATATTACATTGCAGGACTTTTAAAAGTTTATTTATTTATTTTGAGAGAGAGAAAGCACACAAGCAGGGGAGAAGCAGAGAGACAGGAAGAGAGAGAGAATCCCAAGCAGGCTCTACACTATCAGCAGAGTCTGTATCACACGAACCATGAGACCCTGACCCGAGCCGAAATTAAGAGTCAGATGCTTAACTGACTGAGCCACCCAAGTGCCCCTACATTGCAGGACTTTTAAAACTTTTTAATTTAAGCAGAGTTAGACTCCAATACAGAGATTTGGAATCCCTCTACAATCTTGATGGTTTATAACGCTAAAAGGACAAAATCTACAAGTTACTGAATGTCAGTCCTTTATTTTTCCATTTCATTTTTAATAATAAATAAATCATAAAATGAGGGGAAAAAGGCATATCTAGCCTTTTGGTGAGGAACTTTATAAGAATTGGCAATCCAGGGGCGCCTGGGTGGCGCAGTCGGTTAAGCATCCGACTTCAACCAGGTCACGATCTCACGGTCCGTGAGTTCGAGCCCCGCGTCGGGCTCTGGGCTGATGGCTCAGAGCCTGGAGCCTGTTTCCGATTCTGTGTCTCCCTCTCTCTCTGCCCCTCGCCCGTTCATGCTCTGTCTCTCTCTGTCCCAAAAATAAATAAACGTTGAAAAAAAAATTAAAAAAAAAAGAATTGGCAATCCATGTCCTTTGAACATTTTTTTAAAAACTTAACTCTTTATGATGACAGATATAAAACATTTGTGTTCAGCCAAATACCATGTTAAAAACAGAATAGTCTCAGTGCATATTGCTTCTTTCTCTTTTACTTTTTCTAACATGTTTGTAAACAAGTGTAAGAGCAATAAAATCAAGAGGTGTTGATTCCTAATGGAAATGCACCTACATGTAAGCTGCTAGCAATTCAGAAGGTCCAAGGATATATATAACAACTTACTCTCTTTGTTTCCTTCAGACTTCGAAATATGGCAATTCTTCTTGGTTCAATTTTTTTTTTTTAAAGAAGCTGTTCTCCTGGCTCAGAAACTTAAAATAGGCTATGGGGTAATATCTTTTATATCTGGTTTTTTCCTGTTTAATTTCTTTTTTTTTTTAACTATTTGTTTTCCAGGAGGGGGAGGAAAGAGTTCTATGAAAAGCTTTCATAACAGGTTCAAAAGTATAAAAGCCATTTCAAGCTCCAGACATTTGTAGCCTTTATTTCTTTAGTCCTTGAAAGGGCTTTTTAAATGTTAACAGCTAGGATAAGACTGCTTTCCTATACTGATATTCCAGGCTTCTTTTCCTT